AGAGAGAGAGAGAGAGAGAGAGAGAGAGAGAGAGAGAGAGAGAGAGAGAGAGAGAAGAGAAGAGAAGAGAAGAGAAGAAAATGTGTAATGGGAAAGGGGGGAAAATAGACGAGTTAGAACACTTGGACGCGGTGATTCTCGCGGTCGCAGACGACGATGTTACCGGTCGACGTGACAGCAACCCCCTCTAGGCCCTTGAATTCACCGTCACCGCTACCCCAGCCGCCGAAGGACTTGAGGAACGCGCCCTCTGGGCTGAATATCTGTATCCTGTTGTTGCCGGAGTCGGCGACGACGATGTAGCCCTGGTCGTCGACAGCGACGCCCCTTGGGAACTTGAACTGACCCTCGTCGGAGCCCTCGGATCCGAAGGAGGTCAGCACGCGGCCGTTCACGTCGAATATCTGTATCCGATGGTTGTTTCCGTCGCTGACGATCACGCGGTTCGTGTTGCTCACCGCGATGTAGTGAGGATGTTCCAATTGGCCACGTCCGCTTCCGCAGGAACCGAATTTCCCCACGAACGTGCCATCCGATTGAAATACCTGCGGCAACGAACCATTCTCGATCTCACGGTTCACAGGAATTGCGATTACTATTGTTTTCGCGGTGAATCTATCGGAGATATAGCTACCTGTACGCGATGGTTCTCTTTATCGCACACATAAATGAATCCAAGAGCGTCCGTGGTGATTCCCCAAGGGTAATTGAACCGACCATCGGCGGTTCCTTGGGAACCAAAGGCTCTCAGAAAACGGCCGGACGGATCGAGCACCTGAATTCTGTGGTTGTAACGATCCGCGATGATGTACTGCCCGATCCTGTTCACGGCCACCCCGGCGAGGCAATCGAACTCACCCTCGCCGCTTCCGTACGATCCGAACTCCTTCATGAAGTTCCCGTTGCAGTCAAATACCTAGAAACGTCCAGGCATCGTCAAACTACAAATAGTCGATCGATTGGTTAATCTTGAAGAGAAGCTCGACTGCAACTAAAGATAAATGGAACCGATTAGTTTCGCGATTCATCGGCGCGACTAGTTTTCAAGGATGTCGCCGATTCGAGCCCATCCGAATTCGGAAAGTCCACTCGCGGTACAGTCGATTCGCTAGCGCCTCTCCGAGATCTAAGGGGGCAAGTAAACCGGGCTTAAGGGTGGTAGTAGTAGTTACTTGAACACGATGGTTGGAGCTGTCGGCCACGACGATGGAGTTGTCCGGGCCGACCGCGAGGCCTCTCGGCCAGGTAAAGCATCCGGCTTCGCTCCCCCGCATCCCGAACTTGAACAGCTGCCGCCGCTTCAGCAGATAGTGACTCCTCCGGCCATTGCTGTCGAGTAATCAAGGAGAATCAAGGAACGCCTCGCGCGTGAAATCGGACGCGCGATCAGCGAAACTCACCTAGTGGAGGAACCTGCTGCCGCGGGTATAACGGGAGCTGCTGTAGGGGACGTGGGGGAGCCTGACGGGTTTTTTTGGTCGTCATCGGAAGATTCGAAGGACGTCTGGCCACCGTGCCTGAGCGGTAGTCCGAGAGATAACCTTCTCGAGGCCGCGCTGCTGCTGCGAACAGATCAGCGTAATCCGCCGTTAAAACTATTACATTATAGTCCGGAGACTCTCGAGGCTCACCTCGCTGATGGAATCGCCGAGGTGGAAGAGGAGGGCTCCTTGTCCTTGATCGTTCGATTCCCGTACTTGTTCTTGAGGTACCTGGCCCACGAGCTGAGGGCCGCGCCGTCTTTCTCGGCGCCGGGCCTGTCGCGCTCGGGGCTCGGCTCCCTGGACTTGAGGGCGTGGGTGCTCCGACTTCTGGCCAATTCAGAGCCGGCTCCGTACTTGGCCGCCAGATAGGCGTTCGGCGACTGGGTCGTCGGCGAGGGTGGTTCCTCGTCGAGGTCGAGGTCATCGCCGCCGAAGTTGTGCGAGCTTCGGGACCTCGCCAGCCGTTGTCTTCTTTCCTTCAACGCGGCGTACCGCGACCTCGCCGACAGCGGCGACTCGACCTCGTTGTCCGCGTCTCGTTCGCGCTCTCGTTCTCTCTCGCGTTCTCTTTCTCTTTCGCGTTCTCGTTCCCGTTCCCGTTCCCGTTCGCGTTCCCGTTCGCGCTCCCGCTCCCGCTCCCGCTCGCGCTCCCGCTCCCGTTCCCGTTCCCGTTCCCGCTCCCGCTCCCTTTCCCGCTCCCTGGCCATCATCGCCGCTTGGCTCCTGCTCTTGTTCAGGAACCTGGAACAGTACGGAACGAACGTTGGCTCTTTCAGATGTCCTTGGGATCGGCGAACGAAAGCCTCTCTGTGCTACTGTCGGAATGGCGATTGCTCATGGGATCGGGGATCGGAGGAAAACTCGCTGGATGCGCTAGGCAATCGGAGGAGGAAAGCTCGTTCGGGCCGTCAGAATCGGACGCTCCTTCGCGAGCGATCGATTCGCGGCTCGCGGGGGACTGGACACATCGAAACTCTCTTGGTTACTCGTGTTATCTCTGCTGCGGGACGAGCTGAAGCTTGAGTCGCGAGTACTCTGATACTCGGGCGTCGACCGCTGGGACGGTCGCCACCGAACGCTCGCGCGTCGAGTACGGTGATTTTCGTTTGCAACTTATTAGAGAAATTCCTTTAGTGTACGCTCTGGTATAGCGGATCAGCTCGTTAGTCGGAAGTGAACGGCATACGATAACATACAGCAGCGAATTAATCACAGTGACAACGGTAAGATTAATAGAATCGAATGGCAGACCGCGATACGAGTCCTGTAGATATCATGGCGCGATTCCGGCGTGTCGAAAGTTCAAACATTCCCACAGCCGTTTGAACTGGTTTCCCGGAAAATCGGGATTTCTCGGTTGCGTCACGGCTGCGGCGAACGAGAGCGATATGTACAGGATTTAGTGGCACGGGAGTGAAACAGTTTAGCGGATGACGCAACTGGCGGCATGAATCGTGTCATGAAACCCGGTGGACCGCGAGCAGACGATTTCGTTTCGCGACGAACGACACCGACCGGCCGGCCGCCCGAACGTGTGTTCCATTCATTAACGCGCCTGTGTTTTCATTCTTCTGTCGCGGTCTCCTGACGTTGATTGCGATTCCGCGAGCAATGTCGAACGGTCGCAGTGCTCGGTGATTTCGAGCCGCGTGTACACGGTGTCGGGGCGTCGCGTTGTAATCAGTCCACAGGCCCGTACGTCCGTTCTAGCCGCGCGTTGTATCGTCTGCCACGTGGATGGCGTAAAAATCGATGTACCGAGGTATCAACGATGTCCGATCTTCGCTTTTAACAAAGGTGAGTCCGCCGTGTTCGACTACCGGCCCGTTTGCGCGGTTCTCGATTCGTTTCGACAAAGGCGAGCTTCGAATATAGTCTCCTTTGTTCTTTGTTTTTACGGCTGCTAGGTTGGATTTTAATTCGATTATCAACCGCGTCCGAACTCCCCGCGATAAAGTTCGTCAATTCTCGATACCAGAGATATTTAGCCTCGCTCGAGCAATAAAACGCAGCCCGGCCGCGGATAACAAGGAATTTCCAATACGTTTTTAATCGGACGTCCGATGAATAAGCGGCGCGAGCGTTATCGAGCGTTATCGAGCGTCCGCTTCATCGCCGCGGTCCACTCCGCGCGTTGGATACGAAACGTTTCACGCGATGCCACTGTTGCTGCTTTTTTTCTCTCTGTATTCTGTAAAGGTGCGTTCTGTTCGAATGATTCGTCGAGAATGAACAAAATTCCAGTTCCTTGACCGTTCGAGAGTTTGAATTTCTACCCACTCCGGCGAGCTATTCTCCGAAATCGTGCCTCGAAGAACAGAATTCCCTGGAAAGGAACTTTTCCGATACCGTTTGCGACACCTCCGTAGCATAAAATGACGAGAGCAGCGAATTTCCCGTATTTCAGAAGCTCTCGGGGGGTTAATCTATCCAGTAAAACTGTACGAGTGCAATTACAGCGTTCGATAGTCGTAAAATTTTAGCCGAGTCCAACGTAATATACATTCCCCCTATTTCCCCGTGAAATTTCGACGGCGTCGACCCTCGGAGCATATTTCGTCCGGTTTTTCGGGCATCGTATTAACCCGAGAGAAAAAAGAAGGAGTAAAAATTCATGGGATGGCCGGTTCGAAAGAGAGAAAAAAATGCCGCGCGTATTCGTTCGTTTTTCGGTGGGCGCATAGTTTAATTGATGTTTTCAGCGGTGAAACGTATCGGAATAACATCCGTGTTTCCAGTCAAGTGGACTACAGACCGATATAGCTCGGCTGACTATCCGCGCCGCAGCAGATATTTAAAGTAACAAACGGGTTATATTTAAACCTTTCACCGCACGCCTCGGGGCTTCCCGTATGATGCACAATGCGGTCGCATTAGTTCCGTCTGTAATATTTTCTCTGTGCCCTATGCGGCCGGTAGCGGAGGTCCCACGGTTTGTTCGACTCGTCGATGTACCCCGATGATTCCGGGGCAAACGCGCGCCGTTAACATTTCGTTTCGCGGGACGTATACACGCGCTCCTCGAAATACGGTTGGTCATTTGCGAAGGGCGTACATATGCGTCCCCGTTTCGCGTGGATGCCTGGACACGAATAGCTCGTTCACAATTGGAAGGTAATTCTAACATTAGAACGGTGCGTGCGAAACGATAGTTTTCACCTGTGCCGAATCAGCATTCCGCGCGAACGGATGTGTCGGCAACTGATATCTTTCCATGTTCATTTTGGAACGAGATCAGACGCGAACGCGTGTCATAAGCGGCGAGATGCAAGC